TTTCGAGCCTATACAGCTTGGAGTAAGACAACATGCATGAAGAGGATGATGTGGACAAAATACTCATTTGCCTAATAATTCTGCACTCCCTGTATATATATTTATTACAGACGTTAAGTATATGTGATTGACACAAATGTATGATGTTACATGTTAGTGTGAGTAAGACTAGAAAACGCCTACACAAATACCAGGAAGTTCTTTCCAGTTTCACTTATTTAGATTATTATTTCTGTCATGTTTTTGTCTTTTAGATAAGACAGTGGATAACACAGCATAAAAAGAGATTTCTTTTCATCAACAACAAGTCTTAAATCCTAAAAAATTCATTCTATCTGCTCTCTGAGACATTTATTAAGACACACACACACATTCCCAGAGTTATATGGTCTGTTCGCAATTTATCCAGCAAAGTATTCCAAGATGAAAGGTGTCTACAGACATGTCTGCTTTCTGATGAACAGGGGTTTCTTTGGGAAGTAATTACCAAGTGTTTTAATGCTGCCTTGCAGTGAAAAGAGAAACATAAAGAGAAAATTTTCCTCTATACAAACTAAAATTTTGAAAAACAAAATGGGAATGCAGCCAAATAAGAAGAGAAAAGGAAGTCTTTGCTAAACTTTCATTGTTAAATAGAAACATGCATAAATGGATCCTCCTTTATTTTATCTTTAACACGTTACAGTTGTAGGTGGTTGATGAGGATGCCAAATATGGAAAAAAAAATTCAGGAAGTATTTTTTTTCTTATTTGCAGATCCCCTGAGGATTGTCCTGCTGGGAAAAACTGGAAGTGGGAAAAGCAGCTTGGCCAACACCATATTTGGAGAGACGGTGTTTGAGATAGATCATACTGCAAACCCTGGAACAAGTCAGTGTAAGGAAATTACCAGAGATTTAAATGGAACATCTGTCTCTATAATTGACACTCCTGGTTTCTTTGACAATCGCACGTCTGAAGAGGAGCTGAGAAATGAGATTACAAGGTGTGTCGTAGAGTGTTCTCCTGGACCTGACGCTTTTCTTATTTTACTAAAAAAGGATAAATACACAGATCAAGAGATTGAGGTTATTACCAAAATCATAGAGTCTTTTTCTGAAGAAGCTTTCAGATATGCTGTGCTTGTCTTCACTCGTGGTGATGATCTTCCTGAAAGAATGCAGATTGAAGAGTTTTGCAGGGGCAACAACCGTCTACTTGAGTTGTTAGAGAGATGTGGTGGGCGCTGCCATGTCTTTGATAACAAATACTGGAACAACAACCCACAGCATGAATACAGAAACAACCAGCTGCAGAGGGAAAAGCTGCTCAACACAATGAAAGAGATGGTGAGGAACAACGGTGAACATTGTTACACAAATGAGATGCTGCAAGAAGTGGAGAGGCTAATACAACAACAGCAAGAGAGCATTAGATCATCATCAGGAGACATGTCATGGGAAGAAATCAGAGAGGAGGCAAAGAAGAGAGTCTACAATATTCTCAAGATGGCTGCTGGTGTTACCACAGGGATGCTGTTGGGAGCACTGCTTGGTGTGCCAATAATGATTGCAAAAGTTCTCACAATACTGAAGACTTTAACAATGCCAGTAAGAATACCAGCAAGCACTGTAGTGGCAGGAGTGGCAACACAAGGAAAACTTCCAATAACTGGTGTTGGATTGGGTACGGTTGCAGGCCTTGCTGCTACTGCAGGAGCAATAGTTGGGGGTTATGTAGGATATTGTAAAGCTGATGAAGCAGATTCAATAAAGGAGGCAGTTATGAACACAGCTGAGGCTCTTGGTGAACTAGCTGTAGAAGCAGGAAGAAGTCTCATAAACCCTGAAACAGAACATTTTAATCGCTTTTAGAAAAAGATTAGCACATTTCTAACACACGTGTAATGCTCTAAACTCATTATCATCATTTATTATCATTTTAAAGTGTCACATTACTAGGCAAAGTGTTTTACTAATATTTTGATTAGATTTCTTACCTTGTATTTTCATTTATACATTTCCTTTCAGCCAATCAAAGTATGGTCTGGTTTGAATTGGTTTCAGTCTTCAGTTCCTGTACACAGTAAATGTTACATTTTTATATCTTTAATTCATAAATAAATGTTATTTTTCCATTATTTAAAAAAGCAGGCCAAACCGCTAGGCCATGCTTTTCAACTACAAACACTGGAGCAGGGATATGGAATGACCTGCAGGTTTTAGATGTGTCCTTGAGCCATCACAGCTAATTTAAATAGCTAATCTCCCACCTCAACATTTCTTGAAGTTCCCCAGAGGCCTTGTAATGAACTAATCATTTGATTCAGGTGTGTTGACCAAGGGTGATATCTAAAACCTGCAGAACACTGGCTCTTGAGGCCTGGAGATCCCTACTCCTGCACCGCAGGATAGATTTGCCTGTGTGATATGGGATAGAGAAAATATTTGCCTGTGTATATTTGCCTATGCGCTTTGCTGTGGCTGCCTGGTCAGACACGAACCTTTGGTACACATTTTCTTTCCTTTATTAAGAGAAAGACAAGCCAAATATGGTGACATGGAAATGAAGAATTTAAGACTCAGCTGATGCCAATTTTCATTCAGGGAGGCAGCAACATATATGCTCATAGTTTGAGTCCCAAGGTTAATGTTCCAGATAAATGTCGAGGGTGTGTCAGCAATGGCATCAACATAAAATTGTTGCTATTAAGAAGCAGCAGGATGTAGCTGTAAAATATGCTACTGTTATTCGATTTCTGTCCTAGTATTTTTATTCATATGTTTACTTTTACCTAATCAAAAGTGATTAGTTGTGGATTTCATGTGTTTGTGACAAATTTGCTATGATAATCCTTAGTGATACACTTGTCATACATCATACTACTGGGTGTGGTTCAAACTAGTTTCATTCTTCAGTGTCTGTCTTTGATTTGTTGTTACTCACCTGTTCCCCATTGTTCTAATCAACTTCTGTGTATCTATAGTCCTTTGTCCTGACATCCTTTTGTCTTCCACTGTTATTGTTTTCATGCTGAATGTGAGTTCTGTCTGTATCCATGGACTTTGTTTTCTATTGCTGACAAAATAAAGTACTGCCATTCCCCAGCTGTAACCTGCATATGCATCAAACCAAAATCCAGTATCATAGCCACATGATAGACATGATAGATGAGGTTAAAGGGCTGTGTCATTTTGCCAGATAGCTTCATCCTAAAAAAGATAGACATTCTTCAAAAACAAAAGTTTGTGAATATTTCCAGTATTGCCAGGCCTAAACCAACCTGTTAAACTTATCAAATTATTGTCATAGATACGAACCTGTTGATTGAAACAGAATAATCCATTGAAGCCTCCATCATCATCCACGATGACTGTTACTGTTCAGATTATTTTATCTCCATTTTCCTCTAGAATGTTTTGAAAATCAGCATTTGATCAACAGACTTTTTAAAAGTTTATTTTGATCCTATTGTTTACGTGTGTAATTGCATTTGTATTGAAATTATGACAGGAAAACCCTTAATCAAATTGTATCTTTGATATCTAATAATAATATTAACAATAATGTTACATATGTAATATGTACACAATAATA